GAAATGATGCGTCGATCGACGTGAATTTGACGGTATCGACTCGACATCGTTCCCGATATTGTCTCGACGTCGATCGACGAATTATTCCTCACTGGAAAGGGTGACAATCGCGCGCGCGCGCGCGAGCGCGAGCAGCGGCCGCGGCCGCGGCGGCGCGGCACCGCGGGCGCAGGGTGACGTTTTTCCGACACATCCCCGCCGTCGATGTCTGATTCGATCGGCGAATCGTCTCTCACTGGACCAGGTCTGGTTTCCCCAACGTCGCTTAATTTTAACCTTGGTTTAACTCATCCTTCGTCTCTTTCCAAGTGTCCTCTTAGGCCCGGTTGATCATTTCCTGGTTAAGTGTTCACCAGAAGTTAGTCGATTCTCTATCTCTTAATATCAGCAGCAATAACGTTATCTCCCTTTCGTTTTCTTTAATGAAACCCAGCCGGGGAAGAATTAAGCGAGACTAAGGCCTGCTATACAATACGTATTCTACAACAGGCCTAAGGCGGGAATGTTAGGCTTGGTGCGAAAGTATCACGAGAGAATACTTGTGTCATCGATGGTCAAATATCGTTTTTTTTCCTTTTTTTTACGAACAGAAGAGATTAACATGAATAGAGATGGTAATGTTAACAATGGAAACAATATATTATCTTCTACAACCAAGACTCTCTCTCTCTCTCTCTCTCTCTCTCTCTCTCTCTCTCTCTCTCTCTCTCTCTCTCTTGGGACATATATTTGAGGTTTGGTAATCTTGTGGCTCTCACAATACACGTGGGCATGTATATACGATGTATATATACATTTGTATATATTTCTTCTTCATACATATATTTCTCCTCTCTGAAATTGTACGTTTATTTTACACGTGGAATTAATATAATTAATAATAATAATATGAATTAATAATAATAATAACAATAATTATAAGAATAATAATGTACATACTTTCACCGTTGTTTTACATAATCGTGACGGTAATCAGAATCATGCGTATAATGATCATAATTAATGACAGTAATTAGTACAGGTTTGCCAAGTGAGGAGCTGCCGTCGAAAAATTTGATTCGCTTGATTTGATACAAAGATGCGTATCCGGGTCGATTTAAGACACGATAGCAGATTCGTGCCCGTCCATTGTTACGCAGAGGGTCATACGTTAACAACTATCTGCCATGATCACTCGACAAAACAGCGCATGCAATAACGATGATAATAATAATTCGTGTAATAATAATTAGAAAAATAATAATGATGAATTCGAATAACTAACCTTCCCCTCCTCGTTCTTCTCTTACTCTCTTTCTCTCTCTCTCTCTCGCTCCTTCTGTCTCGCTCTCTTTCTCTCTCTCTCTCTCTCTCTCTCTCTCTCTCTCTCTCTCTTCCTTTTGTTTCTCGCTATACACAAGTGCACAATTATTTACATAATTAATATAATGACAAATTCTAAGGTGCCTCTTGAGCGCATTTTAAAACTTGGATTCGTCTGGAAATATCGTCCAGAATTATTTGGCACATCTCAGTTTCTTGCGTCCTTTTCACATGCGGTCTGATACTTGGCACGATATTGAACCGTCATGCATTGATTGGCTCTTAGAAGATCGATTTTAAATATGCTAAAAATGGAGATAACGATTTTTTTTTTCACCGAAGACACATCTCTCTAAGTACGTCGCGCGTCCACTTTTACAACTGTTTCACATTGAATTTAGTGTATCTATCTTTTTTTTTCTCTCTGGATCGACTAACATTACGGTTGATCTAATCACGACACAGTAGCCCACAATCTCTATACGAACTGACGACACATCTTTGCCGAGTTTACCGGAGCTCTTAGAGTCATCGAGGAAAAGAAAAGAAAAATACAGAAAAGTTATCTCTTTCGTTACACAATTATTGCTAACGCAAGAATACCCGTGAGACACACACACCGCGCACTTGCATTTGTCGAACAATTCCGAACGAAAAGCCGCAATGGTCTCTTTTCTTTTTCTCTCTCTTTCTCTCTCTTTCTCTCTCTCTCTCTCTCTCTCTCTCTCTCTCTCTCTCTCTCTCTCTCTCTCTCTCTCTCTCTCTCTCTCTCTCTCTCTACTACACATTGTCTTTCTTGTCTATTTCGCATCGATCCCTATTTCGTAGCGATACAATGACACAGATAAAACACCTTTTACTCTATTCGATCGCGTCGCTCCCTGTAAAAAAACACTCACAATCAGGAGAAACAATCGTTTTATGCGAAATTTCCAAAAGCTTGTATACCGAACCACAGTCGAGCCTAAGTCTATTGCGTTTAACGAATCTACGGGTTCGAAACACGAGTTTCTGCTCTCTAAACAAACACGAAATTGTCTAGGGCGAACGGTAAAACGTTGACGAGTTTCGCCTTCTTCGAGATCGCAGACGTATTCTCTTGCGTTCGAAGAAACGCATTGCGTATCGTTATGCTTGTGGGATCGTCGTTATGGAATTCCTTCTTCTTTCTTTCTTTATAACAACAGATTCTCCGCTCGGTTAGAATAGCAGAATCGTCAAAAATTTCTAACTGAAATTTCGCGTGAAAAAAACATGCCACTCTCTATGGTCGTAGGCGAAAGTTCGATATACGTGTCGCGTGACGCACGAATTCTCAATAAGGTAAAGTAAAATTAAATGTAATCACGTTAATACACGCCGCGCTGAATAGGAGTCTTTTAAAAAATCTGGATCGAAGCCCCGGCTCCACTTATCAAAATTTATCAAAACGTATTATGCACGAATCACAGAAAATTACATGGTATTTTCACGAGTCCCCCCGAGTTAGAAATTTTTCACCTTTTAGGAGACATCAGGTCAGGTACATTTCCTCACGTAGAACGGGCTAATATGTAGAAAGAGCAAAACGCTCGGCAGATGTGCTTTGGCGCACTGGAAAGATGATACTTTTTTTTTGTATACTCGCGCATCTATATAATAGTGTTAACCGCTTGTCAGTCATGAGAATATAACCGTAAATACCTCGGAAACTCGACGTACGAACGTATTTCAGTCGGGAGTGCACGGAAAGTAGGCTAAACTGCAGCAACTCTGTTGGAAATTTAAGCGTAACTTAAATGTAAATTTTTCGGTCGATTATCGTCCGCGATTTGATTATATATTCACTCAAATTCGAAACATCGTTGATGCAACCGAGCCTCGTAAACGTCCGCCTCATCACGCGGTGATACATAAACACCGTATTTCTTTGTCTCCTTTTATACCAAACGCAAGACTCTACGTCGAGGAATAGTCTGTCGAAGAGGTGTGAGAATTTTGTGTAGAATATTTCTTCTCTTCCATCTCTTTCTCTTCTTCTTCTTTTTCCCTTTAAAGATTGCTTCCGATGATTCTCCATCATTTTTTTCATGGCACCAAAGTACGACAACACACGCGGAAGACTCTGTCAGGCGAGTAGTACTTGCAATACAGTAACCGGGGAAGATTTAAGATTTGCGTAAGAAACATAAAACTATGTAACAGGCACCTGTAGAAGAACCAGTTCTCCGAATTTCTATCAGACTCGCTTGAAGTCTTGCTTGGAAAATTGCGTGAAAGCACTTGTCCTGCAAACAAATACCGCAATACTGGCCTCCAAATCGTCGTCCTCACCGCCGAAACACGTATAGAGTACGAGTAACGCTCGTCTTAAGCGCGGCGATTAAGATCGCCCAAGTTACTGAACCCAAGACGCAGGCACCCACTGAGGTTCCCTCTCGAGTGAATTGATTTCCGTGAGAAGCTGGTTATAAGCCCGATCCGTATCGTTGTTGAGGATAAGCATGTCGAACAGATGGCCATACTTATCCTCCATCTCACGAGCTTTCTCGATTATGTCCTTCAGCTCTTCTTCCTTGAAGCCCTCGTTGTTCTTGATCCTCTTCTGCCTTAGCTTCTCGAGGCTCGGAGGCGCGATAAACACAACATACGGCTTCAGATCCGAATTTCGCAGGATCTTAAGACTCTGCGGATGCAGGTTTAAGACACAGATTTTCCCGGAATTAACCACTGTCCTGATGGCCTCCACGGACGTGCCGTAGTACGCTTTTTCGTACTCGCCGTGCTCGACGAACTTCCGACAAAGAATATCAGACTCGAACTGAGCACGAGAGATGAAGTGATAGTCCTGTCCGTCTACCTCGGAGTCCTTTTTCGGACGACTTGTATCTGCAAGTGAAACATGTTTATTCAGGATGTTCTCTTTTTAATGAGAAATGATAAGACGCTAAATATACAGTATGCTAATGAAGAACGTCACTTACGAGGAATTGCTGCGGCAAAACGTTCGCCGTCTTGCATCAATCTCTGCCTGAGTTCGTGTCGTCCAATGTTGGGTGGTCCGATGAGTACAATTGGCCTCTTGTGATTTGCACGAGGATAGTATAAGGCGACTTCCTCGTACGTCAGCACTTCCTCACTGTCGTAATCTACGAGAAAACGTCGCCGCTAAGACGTTGCCTTCAGCAATTTGTACTTGACATTACCCAGCGAGAGACGACTCGTTGATCGATGTCGTAACGATGCCGAGTCAACACCGACACCGTCAAATTTATGTCAAATCGACGTCAATTTGACAATGTCGACGTTCCCACTGGGATCATTTCTCACTGGGTAGGTCCGTCCGAGTTAGGCTTTACATACCGTCTATGGCAGTTGTCGCGTAAAGTGGATATCCATCGTCGTTAAAGCTCGAGCCGAACTTGTTTCGTTTTTTCTTCTTTGGATTTTTTCTCGCGCACAATAGGGTGCTGGATTTTTTCGAACCTCGCACCGTCGACTTGTCGCCGGCTATCGTCTGCTTCATGGATTCCCGCCTGTACAGATAAATGGCATGTACAATGCGCTTCGGCCGCGGAATGCGGTCATCAGGTACTGGCTATATTCCTCGATTATAGTGAACTCACTGATGTTGAAACGCTCTACTGGGTATCAGACCGGCTAGTGTCTGGTCCTCTTCGCCCTCTCGATATGCTTGCCACCAGTTAGGATCCTCTTGGGAAATTACGTGGAGTACATCGCCCTTTTGAAAACTCACGCCCAATTCTCTGCACGGTATGTACGGGTCTTCCTCGGGATCGTAATCGAAATGCGCTCGTATATGTATCTAGATGCAAACGGTAAAAGCTTTATGGTTACAAGTGCCACGTTATACATGCGTTATATCTGCGCAATAAAGCCGGAACAGCTGTTTCCTATTAGCGTCGATCTATAGGTAATTTCGTGCGTGCAGCGGGTATCAATGTCGCGTCGTTTAAGGTAACAGAACAAATGTCATAGCGCTTACACGTATGTATATGTGGCATTTGCTTTTGTTATCACGTGCGTTAGCTCGGTCAATGCAGGTGAACTGAACCAACTCGAATTAAACGGACGACAGAGTGACTTAAATGATATTGATTTTCCCGAACTACAGACATCGAAATCGTAAAAAGACGATCAAGAGCGATCGATGTACCAGCAGTATCTTGGAAGTTGAAGGACGAATGTTTTCCACCCTGACATTTGCCCTTTCACCTCCAACGCCACCGCCGTAATATTGGTTGTTCTAGTTTCACGATCCGCGGATAACGGCGGTCCACATTTCTAACACGGGGATGTGCTAAATATATCAGGATACGTGCTGTATATGACGGTACCTGTGTCGTGTCTTCTCTCCTTAAATTATTTCTGTGGCTCGTCGGAGCCGGAAGTACCAAGAACGTGAGACTACCCTGCATGCCAGCGAGAATATCGCAGACCTCGTTCACGGTCTTGCCGCGCATTTCCACTCCGTTCACCTCGAGAACCTCGTCGCCCTCGTGCAGGAGTCCCGACTTATCCGCCGCACCACCGCGAACGACACGACCTTTTGCGACAAATTCATTTTAGCGTCACGCTCCTCGAAATTGAACGATCGAATGACACGATAAACACGCGGTAAACCGTTTGCTACATTTTTAGCAGAGATGAAGGATACGGCAACTGGATGTTACCAGCGCGCGTAAACGCATGATTACCTATGATCACTGCGTCCCCTTCGTTTCTGACGGTGGCACCCAGAGGTTCGTTGGTTTTCTCAATTCGGATGATTTTAATGTTGTCGACCAGCCGGGAGTCTTTCCAACTAGACGTCGGGCTGGGCGGGCCGCTGGGTGGCGACGACGACGGGCTCTGCTTCCTTTGTAAGCCTTCCACGTATGAGACGATAGAGTCGTGCGCCAGAAGCAGAGCTTCCATGTCGTAACTTGTTAGAATACTCGTTAACTCCTCCACGGCGGCTATTGTTTCTGCTCCGCCGACACCTGTTGCGGTCGACGACGATTGCCATTTTTCAAGGATATCCACACACTGGAACATCACGCCAAGACGTTAGAATTATGATACATGTAGATTGGAAGCAAATAAATAATGTATTTAAGTAATACAACTTCCTTCGCGTGATGTGTTAAACAAACGATCGAGAAAATGTGACATCGTGGATATAACAAATAAAATTCATAAGGCTCTGACGTGTACGAATAAGATTAGAGATCGTATTACACTTCTCTTTCATTACGTTATAACTTATTGACTCAACGTACATCTCGCGCTAAACTCGACGCGTCGTCGGCATGATGTTTGAAAATCTTGCTCGCCCTCAGCCGACTTTTTAATGTGTGACGGGTCGCAAGGGCGGACGCAAATCTATTCTGCACCAAAAGTGTCCGGACTGCCTCGAGCTCGGCTTCAACACCTGGACCCGAAATACCGAGAACACCTGAAATATTCCGCAGTTGCAGCTGCAGCCTCTCCAGCGTAGCAACAACCTCGCCGTACGCTGAAATATGAAAGGTATACTTGTTAGAAACTTCCTTGCGGAATCCCGTGCCGCGGCACCCGCTGTTTATTTACGCTACGCAAGCAGGTTGTAAGGGAAGGGACTATATTTAGTAGCATTCAATTTTCAGCAACTTTCAGAATTCTTTAAATACTGCTCTCGCGTTTGTAAGTTTGTGAAATTAGACGCAAGCTATTTAACTCAAACGAGACACCAAGGTTCCCTTAAAACGAGGAGGCGCAATTGAAAAAGCTAAAATATCAACGTAAAGATCAAGTGAGAAGCGTGCGATGTTATTTTTTTCAACCGATTTATGCTTCCTTTTGTTTAGGGAAATATGCGAGAATGTGTTTGGAAAAAGAAGAATTGCTTACTGAGAGGCCTGGGGGGCTCCTCCGCTTCTTGGACTGCATTAGGAATGGCGTGCGTGACTCGACTGACGCCGGTGGTCACCTCGTCCTGTGCGTAAGCGAGATTTTCCTGGCCGCTGAGGCTCGTCGCGTGGCTCTCCAAAGCTTGAAGCTTTTTAGAGCCACGGAGAGAACGGCTGAGCATTTCCTGCCTCTCCTCCTCATCCTTACGTTTTCGTAACTGCTCCTGCAAGTGCGACGTAACCGGTAAACTATCCATTCTCCTTTACAAGGTATAAAAATGTTTATGGAAATCAAATCTCGCGGCAGAATAGAAATCTTGCCGTGTATTTTGGAGACCGTTCAAGATATCGAATTTCTATCCGACAGTTATTTAAATGTGCGCGACACATTTCTCCGCAAAATATGTCACATATTTTTCAAGAGATTAAGTGCATCTGACACTTGAATGTATTTCAGATGCAATAGCGAGCGCGAAAAATTTTTTTAAAAGATACGAAAGGAACTTCGAGGTAAAGTTTTATCTGATTAAACTTAGCGCGGTTTTTTAATGATCTATGGTTTATCTACAGCTTACACGTTAGAAGACGTGGATATTTAACAAATTTCGAAGGGGCAGTATTTCAATCCCAAATTCGTTGCCTCGTCCTAAAGAAATCTTACCTTATTGAGAGTTGTTACAACAATTATGCTGATTATGCAAGAGGCTGCGAAACAAATTGCCGTATACGTGCAATTGTATGTAACGAGTGTCGCAAATACGTACGGTTCGCTGCGAAATTTATAGGCCACTCAATGCGGTTGCAGCTCGCGCAAAATAAGGAGTCCTCCGATGGTATCAAGCTCAAGGATCAATTAAACCTTTTTGCGAATGTATACTTGCTTATCAATTATTTCGAGGCAGTTTATATTCAGGGAGAGTTCCTTAACTAAGTCTGGCAACGTCGATATACGCATTTACAAATAACTCCGCTTATATAAGTCCTGCTTTTAATCTACACAATCTTTAACAAGCTTTATAATAAAAGTATTTATTTTAAGCAAAATCTCTCCGATGAGAAACTCTCCGATTACTACATACAAATCGTATGACTCAATAACTTTACAAGACCGAACCGAAGTTTTTGTTGTATTGTTTTTTTTTTCTTAAGAATTACGTAATCTTATTACACGAATACGTTAATTGAACAGACAAAATGAAACAGGATCTTACGGTCCAATTAATTTCCAGTAATCTTTTTATCGCAGTAAGAGATTTGTCGAGATTAAAGGACATTTTCTGCGTCACAAGAAAGAGCACTTTCCAAGGCTTCAAGAACTTGTAGCGGAAAATTCTACATTTGATTAAAACTTTATTTTCGACACACGCAACGATATACGCGTACTTAGCAAAGTCTGATTCGTAATATGTTTGTATCTCGCTAAAAATGTAACTAGTTACAGTTACAAGTTACGAATTCTGAAAAGTAACGCGTTACAGTTACAGCTACTCAAACAGTAACGAATCTTTACCTTGCAGTTACTTTCTTGCAATGAAAATATAATAAAAATACCAAATCTGCATATGAATTGTAAAGTGTCGATAAATGCATTTATGCGCAATTGCAAGGCCTAATACAATCTGTGGAGATTTAAAAAATATATAAAGTAACTATTAATGTAACTATTGAATTAGTTACTACACGGGAAAAAATGCTGTTGAATTAAGCAAAATTAAGTCGCTTGAATTGAACGTTAACGTCACGGGCTGCCACGAACATTAAATAATTCACTCAATTGTATTTGCTATGGATTTTAATTTTAAGCATTGAACTAAATATCTCACAAGATTCGTCGGATCAGAGATGTGAAAATTAAGTTAGAAGTCAGAAATTTCGTTGTACAATGTGTCCAGTCGTCAACGTTAGAAGACAGAATGAAGAGGAGCAGTATTACTGGCCGAAACGTCATGTTTAATTTTAAAAAAGAACTGCCAGTAAGGCCGTTTCCATAAATCAGTAATATTCACTTGCGGTCAAGCCGCACGAATTTGTCACGCTATCGGCCGTGTTATTCCGTGATTCGTGATCTACGCCCACCGGTGCCAGCTGATAATGCCGTCATTAATCAGTCGTTGCGTTTTACCGTCGCGAAATTGCGATGCGATAAAGAATGTTTATCCGCAATGCGCTGCGGCAGCCGGCAGCAAAAGATACGACTCGTAATTTTCATTTATATAACGAGCGCCGCGTTTCGCCGCGCGATGCTACAAGAGTATAAGGATAGAAATGCACATCTCGGCGAGAAGCCCTGTTTATCGCGGCGTAGTGGACGTAGGGTTTCCAGTGGAACTCGAGCCCGCTCTCCCGCGCTTAGACATCGACGACGGACTAACGTGGAGCACGTCAGGAGTGTCACGTGTACGTGTCGACGTAAAAAGAAAATACTGATTAAGCCTGAATAAAATGGATTCCGGGAAAAACCTGCGTTTTCCGTCGCTTATGTAAGCTCGGACGATCTCTGAGCGACGCGGCGTATACCTGCCGGTCATCCGTTCCAACGCGTGAATTTATCTTGATAAGAATTAATTTACGAGACTCGGCGGGAGGAATAATAAATAAAATTGAATTGAGGGAGGAAACTGTAATGCGTTATATTATGCATGGACTTGCAATTATTGAGGATTCTTATACTGAACAGCGGCGTGCAGGTAGTCCGAATATCGGAGTGTAAACTGAAAGGAAATGTATAATAGATCGGGTATGCAGCCGATACGTCGCAAATCGAATAAGTTTCTTAAAAACAGGAAAGTGAAGAAAGAACGCGTTGAATTTGGGACACCTGCCGCGGCGTATCTCGAGATATTAGAGCAGCGAACCGAATTGAAAGTCTGAAATGGATTCCCCGTCTGCTTGAGGCAGATCAAGAAACTGAGGTCAGGGAAGCCGGGAGCCGTACAATAAAGAAAAAAAAAGAAAGAAAGAAAGACCGACAGAACGGAGAAAGAGAGAGAGAGCTGCTGAATGCAGCAGGCCTGCGAGTCACCCTGCGTCTACACCTATCGAAAACCTTCGTAACGCTACACTACAGCGTGTAATCTTAGACTATTGCGGGGGTTCTTTACATTCCAGACCACACTTGACTTAAGGCAGGTAAGAGCGTGGTGTGAGGATTCCATAAGATAAACACACTCACTTGCGGCCCTGGCGTCGCCAGTCACGCAAGGGGGTTCTGGCATTTCTCACACTTGCAGACACCGAGATTGTATGAATTTCAAGCGCGCCGCACTCGATCCACGAGCATATCCAGATCTCATCCACGATTTTTCACGATGGGCCTCTCTCACTCTCTCTTTCCATCCCCCGTGAATTTTTAACAGCTCGATGAAACGAGGGCTCAATAGGAGGGAAACATTATTCGGGCGAGTCGTCGAATGGAGCTTCGCGTTACGTACTTTAATCTCGCAGGGGAGATTTTTCCGCCTCTATCCCGCGCCGAGTTGTAACTTTTATCAACGGGTAGACCGCTGTTTTTCCAGCGCCACGTGTGCTTCGTGAAACGCGCACGGGGGGATAAGCTAGGGGGATTAAAAGTTTTCCCCGCTGATTGACGCTCGTTTAATAATTTCCGAACAGTCGTTAACGCGCCTAATTAATTTCCGCCCGTGCAAGGTCGCGTCGCGACTCATTTGTCAATTGAACTTCGGCCGTCCGCGAGCGCGGGAAATTCGGTAACTGTGCGGCGCGGCCGGAGTGGTGTCTCGATAATAACCATTGTCATCGGCTCGCAATTTCCTGCGCAAGTGGCAACGTGAGCGCCTCTTGAACAACGATCTGTCATTTACCGCCTTCGCGTTACGCAACGTGATCTATCGCCCGCGCCGCAATTCTCACGGTTTTAAAAGCCTCCCCGCAAAATACCTGCTTCCCCCGGGGGCCGAAACGCGGGGGTCCATTAACGACTTAATCCGATCACGAGGCAAAATCGTAAATTCCGGCGAGAGCAAGAAGCGCGGTTTTATCGTCGTGACGAAACACCGTGGCGGAAGCCTCGTTGCCAGTTTACGAGCCGAACCGGCGATATTACGCGGCCAACCCTTCTTCAATATGCAAATATCGTGTCCCGCGCAAAGCTTCCGTTTTACGAGAATGTTTATTACGTCGAGCAAAACCGTGCCGTGGCAATTATCACGGCCGGACATAATTTGCGTACGGCAAAATCCAATTTGTTCTCCAGATGCGGTTCCGGTGTTTAAAAGGATCCCTCAGCCATCTTTTTTACCGGCACAGTCAAATATATAGTTTTTACGCCTGTAATTCTTTTTATTAGCTTTTCTGCGCAAAATAATACCGGGACAAGTTGCGGACCGCATAGCGGAACATTTTCATACTTAGAACATTTAAAAGTCTAGAGTTTTGTGATTTTCTAAAGCCAATTTCATATTTAGTTAGAACTACGAATTGAAACTTTCAAATGCCAATATCTTTTTATCAGACTTCTGAACTGAGTGTTTTATGTCCATAAAAGCTAATAAAAAGAATTACAAGAGCAAAAACTATATTTGACTGTGTCGGTAAAAAAGATGGCCGAAGGATCCTCTTAACAAAATGACGAAAAAGAAAAGAGCGAAACCCCTCGTGGCACTTACCAGTTTTAAGCAATTTGCGTACTGCAAATCGATTACGTCGGGCCTGAAAGACGTGACGTCGAGTTCAACAATGACATTTGAAATTTGTATTATAGCTTGCTGCTATAATGCTAACACATTTAGCTTGCTGCTTTTCTCTTGCATCGATACTCACGTTCCTTCACGTTCTCCGAAATTCGACGCCGGATTGGTGGTATCCGCGCCTCTTCGAATGCTTATCATGCGTGCTTACGTGACTCGACACGGAACGCGAGTGCGAGAGACAGTGCCGATATCGCCTCGTCTCTTACCTGATATTTCCTGATAGAATGAAGCTGCTGCTGCGTCGGCTCGGCGTTGGCGTTATCGCTCGTCTCGACATTATTGTTCTGCGTGGACAGCCGCAGATTATCTTTCGGCGGTCTGGCAGGTGCCCTCTTCTGATCGCGCGGCGGGATGGCAGGCTTGACCCCGTTGAGACCGGCCTAAAAATCCATTCCGAAACAGCTCGTATTAATGGGTCCCACGTGGGCCTGACGCCGCGCAAACTACTTTTCGCTTCACGCATTCCTCCGTCTTTCATCGTTACTTGCAGACAAACTATTCGCTTGCACTTCACTCGGAGGTACCTTCGTAGAGCCGCGGTTTTGCACGCGGTATGCGGAAAGACGAGAAGAAAGAAGCGGAAAGAAAGAAGAAGGGAAGAGAGAGAGAGAGAAAAAGCTGAAACGCGATAGGAAAGCGAGAAAGAGAGAAAAGGGAGGAGAGAGCGAGATGTAAAAGAAAGCATGTCGAAAGCAAGATTACGAAACAGAAGTAAAATGCCGGGCTCTTGAAAGATTCTGTGACTCATCAATAATCGTATCGGAGACGATAACGTGGCTGATAACGATTCTTGTTTATTTTTAACACCGTCGAATTGATATCAACCTTTGTTCAGTAAAGACGGGAAGAATCCCGCGTATTTAGAATCTCCGACTGCGAATTCATTTGCTTCGCTCGCTATTTTGAGATATGTTAATTAAGACACGTAATTTACGATTACGAGCTTGTTTCCCAATGTCATTAAATCGACGGGCATTTTACTTCGCAAGTTTTGTTGCGCAGCTTGTGACTACATTATCATGCTGTTGACGATCCCATGTTAGATAGTCCGCATTCCTCTACGCATGCTCCTTATTTTGCGTCTCTAATCGAACGGCACCCTTGAGAAAATATACCTTAGAAAACCTTACAATTTTAACTAATAAGAATATCCCTCAATGTCGCCAGCAGTAATTAACAACGTCAGTGTTTTCTTGATGCCTCAGTGGTCGAATTGCTGAGACGCCCGCCTAGAGTGTAGGTCCAGGTTCAAACCCTGGCTGAGGTAATATTTTTCACGATAAAAATTGTCTGTATTATTAAAAGTGCCAGATATGGTGAAAAAAACACTGACGTTCTTACAATTTTACTTTAGAAAAATAAGAAATAAGAAAAGTATATTTGGACACTTTAAACTTTTACTTAAGGTGAGCTTGAAACTTTAAAAATTGTGAAAAGTATGCAATATAATTTATAATACCGTGTGCGGTTTTCCTCTTACGAGAAAGTGCTTCGCCGCGCGGCCCTCTAGCGGAAACTTCGACAGGTTATCTAAAAATTACTTTAAGTGTCTAAAATTACTCCAAAATTTCTTAAGTAAACTTTCAACCTCTTTAAGTGAACTCTTAGATTTGAAAGGTTACTTAAAAAAATTTTAATTTTATTTAAAGTACATTTTCCCAAGGGCAGTCTTTGCACATTTTACCTCTGCGACAATAAAAACGGTGGGGTCTTATCGGGATAAAGATTATTACGCGAATTGCAGAAATTTGCGTCTTAAAGAACATTACACAAATTTGTATCTTTGTCCAATCGTCTAATTAAACAGGCTGACTCTCTTAGCGGAAAAAATTCTATAAATAACTATAAAAAATTGACTTGAAATAGAAATTTGTAGAAAATTTAATATTTTCGTTGAAACGTTAATTATTTTGTAAAAATGTTTACGAAATAGTACCACAAATTACAATGTTCTCAAATCAAGAAATTATTGCAAGTGGTATTTCATGAAAATGTACAATTTTGTAAAAATTAGTACAAAACTTTACTAGTTTGAAAAATTTGAGAAACAACAAAATCTTAAAAAATTAAAACATCTGCTTACTTGTAGAATATTACAAAAATTAACAAAAGCGTTTCAATTCTAGCATTTTCATGTTGATTTTTATAACGCTTTGTTCAATTTACGTAGAATTTCTTAGATTCTGGCAGTATATTTTATTTATTTTGTAGAATTTTGTAGAATTATTTCCGGCAGGGTCTGCGTGTAGGAGCGGTCGGCCAATTCATGGTCGACATGTCTCAAGTTGGATCCCGACTCTCATTCTATGTACGTGCCTCAGTTTATAAAAGAGTTTTTAATTAATAGTGCGCTTCCCAGATAGCAACGGGTCTGGAAGTATTGAAAAATTGCGAGCGCGACTGTAACAGTTTCCACGATCAGAGAACTGCCGTGCAGAAGGCAGGATGCAACTATTGCTCTGTGTTCCCCGAGATTTAACCCTTTCAGACGGACGCGACCCGTAGCATCGAGGAGTACGACTAGAACGATGATGAATTTAATCAAGTAATTCAAGTGGCAATCAACCGCGAAGTTACTTTGCAAGGTGTGCAAATTTCCAAAGTGCAAGGACGCCGTTCGAATTATTCGACGAGCGAAAGTTTCTAAACTCGTGGCGAAGTCCATTGTGTGGTTTACCTGCTGTTCGAGAGCGCCGACGTGCGACTTGAGCGAACGATTCTTCAAAGTGTGCATCGGTGGCATTGGTGCGCTCTGCTCCGTACGTTCGTCAGAAAGTTTGCCGCGTGAGACTACCATATGGTCAACTTTGTCGCGCCCGACGGTGGGTCGTGAGGACGTGACTCTCGGTATTGAAAGACAGTCGAGGAACGAAAAGGATCTCTTTATAATTACCGAGCGCCAACCGTCCGTTACATTTGGAAGGTCGGACATGCTTCTCCAATTAACGCGAAATTTCACGCCATTGTTGGATACCACGGGCGGAACGTCCAACAACTTGGAACGTTCGTACTCGAAAGACAGCTTCGAGTTCTTTTGATTTTGCATTTTCGGCGTATTGTCAAGACAGCGAAGATCGCCGTGTCGTTTCTTCTCACGTGAACGAAGATGTTCAGAGAACCGTGCATCATCGGGACGACGCACGGTGTGTTTCTTTGCGGAGGAAAGCTCGCACAAGGAATTCCGAGAATTCTGATTCGTCTCTTGGATGAAGGATGATCGGAAATGAATGTTGTCCGCGGCTTTGGAAAAAACCGCGACATTTGTCTCGGGTAACAAGATAATCTCGCTCGGACAATCGGAGAGGACAACCTCCTCGGTTACGTTCTTGGAATCAAGGGGCTTTTTCGGACAGCCGACTTTGTCCTGGAAGCCAAAGGGAACACTCGCGGATTCGTCAGTCGCTCGTGGGAAAGGGGAAGAGGCCATTTTATTATTTTCAGCTTCCCCGAGGAAGGAGCGCTGCCAATTTTTCGGAAGCTCCTCTCCGGGAACGCAGGATAATGGACGTTCTCTACTCCCCAGGGATCTTTGACTCAAGAAACCGCAGTAGTGAACGTCCTGGAAACAAGGATTCTCGGCTTGTCGATTCCGGGAGAGATTCCCATCTCGCTCGTCGAACGAGCTTCGCATTCGCGGGCGCTCGGGAGATCTAGTATTCACATTGGATGATCGTAAAGCAGGATCGTTGTTAGAGTGAGATTGCGTCGGTGCGTTAAAGCGTTGCGTGCTGTAAGCGCCAAGCGGATCGCCATGCTCGTGGTGCAGGATAGATTGCAAGCTGTCGCATATCAAGCTCTTGACTCTGAACCTTACCTTCTTCAAGCTGTGCTTACGGTCTACCGAGCGCGCGACCACGGTCTCTTTAGCGCTACCATCGGCACTAGACAGCGTCGTGAAGCTATTATCGTTCGGGGAGAGGCGAGGGGAGGCTACGAGCGTGCTCGTCGTAGTCGTCATGGTCATCGTCGTTGTCGCAGCGCACGAACCCCCCTCGTTAGCGCTCGCGCGATCGCGCTTCGGTTCGAGGGTGTTGTGCTTGCTGTTGCCGGGGGTCTTATTCGGCGGCGGGTATATCGGGTGGCACTTGGTGACCGGCACGAAATCCGGTGGACAATCGACGGCCACCTCGCGGTAAGGCTTTCTGCCAACCACGAGGAAGCTGCGTTCCGCGTTATGCTCGAGCTCGCCAGAGGCCTCGCTTCTCAGTGTGGAGTAGCCGCTGGAGATCTGCTGATGCCGCTTCTTCTTCGGCCGCTGCCGGGACGAGGAGGACGAGGAGGAGAAGTTGCTCAACTCGATGCCGAGAAGATCGTCGGTCGAGCCGGCCCGGATCAGTTCCTCGATGTCGAGGCTGCGGGTCTTCGCCTTCAGTTTAGCCCGCTCGTCATTCGTGCGACGTTTCGCCGGGCTCTTGCCGGACTTGCTCGCCGGCTCGGCCTGGGAAGGCTCCGTCTGCTGGTCCTTGACGCGGACAGGCGACACCTTGTCCTGCTCCTGCGGAGCCCTTGGCAGCGGAGATTGTTCGTCTATCAGTCTGGTCAAGTCCGACATTTCGTCGGATCGCAAGAGACCCTGAAGATCCTGCAAGTCCGTCAGTCCGTAAGCCGGATTGTCAAAGGAAGTCGTGTCCCGGGTACGGCCGAAGAGCGGGGCTACCTTGATATCGGGCATCACCGACCTGCACGGGGAGCCAAGGTCTATCCTCCGGACGTCGTAAGTCGGGGAGTCCTTGTGGCTTTTGTCATGCCCGAGCATCAGGCTGGTATCAAGGGGAGCGGTGCTGTCCGATCTACCCGACGAGCTCCTCGGACTCGCCGAATCATCGCTGCACGTTTTCAGCATGGTGGGATAATCCTCCTTGGCAAAGGGGTAGTCGTCCTCGATATCGACGCTGGACTCCTTCTGTCCGCCCGCGTCTTCGTCAGCGTTCGCGTATACCTCGAAAGCTTTAAAGGTACTCGTCAAGTCCGGCGAGCCGGTCGCGATCAAGCTGTCGCGATACTTTTTCAGCCTCAGCTTCTTGCCGGTGGCTCTCACTTTCTCCTCGTCGTCCTCGATATTCAGCTCGATTTTCAGCATGGATGACGGAAGACCGTTGTGGAGATTGATCGTCCTGGCCGCCGCGTCCGTGACGTCGTGCGCGCGATCGTCCGATACGAGTCTAGCACGTCCGTCCGCGATGGTGCGCGTCTTAAGGGTCTCGTTTTTAAGGTTTAGGGAGAGGTCGAGGTCGCTAGCGCTACGGGGACGATGCTGTAGCCCGTTCCTATAATTGGAAGAGCAGTTCTTTACCTTGTTGGGGTAGGCCTTCTGTAGAAGGGTGTCGGGCACATCAACAGGTAGCTCCCGATGATGGCCCAGGGCGCCAGGGGCCCACATCTCATCGGGCCCCAGTCCCTCCTGCGGCTTCTTCGCGTCGCGCGAGCTACTGTTATTGTTCTCTTGCAACTGCAATTGTTGTTGCTGTTGCTGAGAGTGTATGTCCGTCACGCCACTACCGCTACGCCTTCGGGACCTGAAACGAGGGGGGATCCTGCGTTAGTGTCACTATTAACGGATTAACATGTGTTATTTTTCAGTTCTCGGGGGCTTTTCAGATTTCTTAATGCCACGCCGTAATTTATCTGGAATTTAAAGACGCAAAAGTATCCTAGGCTCAATTCGGCAAAGACAACGGTTTGTAAATAAATATAAATGGTTTGTAAATAGTTTATATCTTACAATAAACGTTTAAGATTTATAGTTTGGTTTAATCGTGTATCTTTACAAGGATCATTAAACTGTGTTAGATAATTGAATGTGTAACGTCTGATAAGTAGAGACTGAATCCTGCAGAGTTTGATCCCTAACGAGATAAACGTTCGATAGAATAGTAAACAGATGCATAACTGTAACTCTTTTCCTACGAGACGAAGGGAACTAAGTGAAGGATAACTAGTTATTGGTATATATTTCTCACACGCAACTAGGGTGAGGTAAATTGCCGGCTGTTACGAACATAAAATAGTACCTCGGGATACTATTATGCATTTGCGGTTAATTAGATACCTTTAAGGCGTTAACTAACTCAATGTTGACGTGAGTCACCGACAACGTATCATTAAGGGAGGTCATGCTCGCGATAAAAAAAAAAGGACGTGCATGAGAACGATAAAGTAACCCCATTTTGATAACCATTGTTGGCTATTTCCTTTATCAGAAATAATAGTGAAATAAAATAGAACGATAAAATATTGCAGTACATATTCCATTCCTTCTTTCAGTGAAATACATAAATAGCAATCAAATTACGTGCTTAATATGCAATATCTTTGAAAAGCCATTGAGACAAGATTGTAGAAATCGTAAAAAAGTTCGATGCAAAGTTCCGTTCGTTTAAGCTGTTCTGACTAAAGCAGCCTAAGGGAGTTGCATTAAAAATCCTCGATAAATCTCGCAGTCGCGGAGTATTATATCGTAATATCTCTCGTATCGGTTAAACGGCTAAAATTTTTATGAGAATTGAAAAAAAACTCTACAGTAAACGTGTAACTAAATCGCATGCGGAATTTAGATCGTCTTTCGCTGAGAGGGAAAGTGCCATTTAACTCGGCAATAGCTCGTTTTCCCGTTCCCCCTTTCCTTTCTTTCTCTGGAATATTTCTTTCTTCCATATTTTTAGATTTCGTATGGAACGTGACGGTGCTCGCGTGGAAATAAATTCAGCCGCTATATATCACATGACTCTCGATAGTGCATGTTACATGATGTCTCAAACGAATGTAGAATCTCCTGGTCGCTCGGTCGTGCGAAAAGTCTCTGGGACATGCACACGGCAACAGATCGGAAAGAAACTTTCGATACGATAAATTCAAAATATATGTATTACGGCTTGTCAGTCGCCGTTTTATCATGTTCGAGAGAGAATCCGCGGCAGTTATTTTTCGTTATAAACTCGTTCCGACTAAAGTAACCTAAGGGAGTCGCATTAGAAATCCTCGATAAATTTCGCAATCGCGGAATGCCACGTCGTAATTTCTCACGTATCGATTAAAGTTCTTGTGGGAACTGCAAAAATCTTCTACAATGAACATGCAACTGAATTACACAGATTATTATATTTCAACGAAAATCCTATTGCAAAGTGATTGTATTTGTATAAGTTTGGATGATGAATATAATCAAATGCATTAAAATTTTACCAAACTATTTTTACGCTACATCAGTTAGGTGAATAAAATTTTGTTAATTAAGGGCTCACACGTTGCATTAAACGTAAATATCAGAAAATCTTATAGAAGCGCGGTACACTTCTTCATTTATTGACTCGCAATTTCTATTTATGTGAACTATATAAAATGTCAGCGCGCACTTTTTCCAATAAACAAATTAATTGGATATACGAGCGCATAGATGTAAAAATATATCGGCGATGGAGAAACGGCTACATCTGGTCGTGTATCATTTTTAAAAAATAAATATTCATAATCCTGTATACATTGCTTTACAATAATATTTGATGTTGAATATTAAAATGTTGCGGAAGGGCCCATCTCTCTGAGTCAAATTCATCGAAAAATCTACATATTTTTCTAACTCGACGGCGCTGTCCAGCGCGATAATTTCCTATTTACACGTGTGCGTTACTGTTTTGCATTATAACGCAAGATATCGGAAATTAGATTTACGCGACAAAGACCGTCGACCTATATAGGACCAATAGGCCTTTTCGCAGATCTGATTACATTGTAGGGCGTAGAGCATTCAACACAAGAACGCCATTACACTCGTTTGGTCCTTACGCAAATACGCGTGGAGGGTTCATAGAGCGGACGATAAAGAAGGAGACAATGGAAATCGCGAACAAAGGCGATAGGAAATACGGTACCACGATTCAATATACGTTTGAGTATAAACGAGAGACGTCCTGCGTTTTCGGTGGCATCTTATGCAACGCGATTTAATGAGATCTTTAGAATTCTTGCGATCTAAATGGAAAACGCAAACGTCGCGTTTTTTCTTCTGTAATTAACTAATATCTCCTCCTGTATTTTCTAGCCTCACGTTCTCCGTTTGGCGTGTTATATAAAACGAAATCGCAAGTAAACGCCGCGGGCAACAAAAATTTTTATTTTCAAATTATATTTTTCATGAAATGATGGTAAAAGTTGAAACACAGATTTTTTTATGTCCGTATAAAAGATACGCTCTAGTAGAGCATACTTTTCCAAATAGCTCTCTCACAGCACGCTTCGAAGTTTATAAAGAAAAATTGTTATCTCGATCGCGCTGAATTTTAAAGAAGCTATCTCCTCTTTCCCGCCCTTCTCTCTTTCGCTCTTCCTTTTTTAACGCAATTACGGGAATTAAATAAGGCGGGGAGCAAGGACCGGGCGGCATTGTCAGGAAATGCCGCATTTTTTCCCCTCCGCCCCGCGGATCGTGCTCTCTAATAGCCGATCTTTAATGTGCGAGCGTGGTACGCGCCGCGTGAATCAGTTCCACGTGGAACCCGTAATGGAAAACGTGAGCAGGTCAGCGTGATCGCCGTCTGCGAAACGATGTCTAAGCCGGTCGACCTGTCGGGGCGTTCAGGAGGGATAGCCTTTCTTAAAGGGCAGACCCGGTGTGAGAATGCGTTGCCAAGAAAACGGACAGACGGCGGGGCCAGGCCGGTTTTGAAGCGAGTCTACGAGAAAACTTTTCCAAAGTTGTGAGGTTCCTTTAATTTGAGCTGAGTGCATTCCTCTGCTCCGGGGGATTGATAATCCGGTCGGGGAAATGGCAGATTTTGCTCTGGCCGACGACAATACAACAATCGACACGAGGCTCGTTGTGGAGTCGAGCGAGGGTATCGCGAGCGATGAAAATGTTGCATTGCATTTACAGCAATTTGAGATGATCGGCTATAAGGTAAATTGATGATAACGATAATAATCTAACTCGCCGCCTGGGCTTTCATCCGTGAGTTAACTGAAAGCTAAATTGACTCATAAAAGCTATATTGCAGCATTATATCGATAATATCTATATGATGCAATCGAAAATAATAATATAGCTCGTAATTAAATCTTTGTAAAACGCGATGCACTTTCTCGCCGTCCATCCGAACTTCCAAAACAAGACTACTCTCGCCGGGAAAATCCAATTGGAAAGCTATTTTCTCACTTCCCACACCCGTAGAAAAAATTTCCGGATCCAATGCTATTACACTTGAATGTATCATAAAATAGGATCGATACAGCATATTTGTTATAGAGAAAGGAATGTTTTAATCTTAAATAAAAATTGTTGGAGAAATTGAGTCGCCAGTAGTAAGTTAAAACCTTTGTGATCAATAATTGAGTCGACAAATTCTGGCACAAGATTGTGCCAGAATTTGTCGACTCAATTATTGATCACAAAGGCTTAAATAAAAAGTTATAAAATCTAGAATAAAATAATAGTATCGTCTTTTGTTGAATGTCGTGGTGCCAACTTGGTGCGTTGCAAGTTGGAGGGAAAATTTGTTCTAAAAGCAAGACTAGATAAACTAACGTTTATATAAGTTACTCTTGTCTCAATATAGTAAGTCAATTCTTTTTAATTTGATAGAAGAGAATAAGAGTTATTGATTTTATTTTGATACCGTCTTACACAAAATGAGGTTGTGAGAAATATAAATGCGTCAAGAATATTTTTTGCCTCGGTAACAGAAATCCTTCCTGAGGGTGCAGGTTCGCCGAATTAAATTTCGGACTCATTTAACTATTTATAGTATTCTAGAAGAGAGTGTTCTTTAGTTCTACGCGAAAACACGACAGTTCTCTCGGACGAAAGAACCTCCCTTCGCCCTGTACTTCTTTTTCCGTGTGGGATAATGCAGGAATGAACGCTACCCCACACGTCTCGTCGCATTTGTGACGGCGCCCGTAATTTACAGTAATCGCGGCCGAAAAATTGGCGACGCGCGAGATATACGAGTGAAAGTATCGCGTGTCCTGACGAAACGGAGACCCGCGAGAGGAATGCAAGTCTAATGACGACGGCATCGTCGGTGCCGGGTATCTCTATACAAATCGTGACTCCTGCGCGAAAGGTCACTCTTGCTTTCTCAATTAATTTCTCCATTCATGCCTGCACTTTTATCGCGCCATCGTTTTCTCACCGCGCGGCTACCTTCAACGGCGGCGAGATCGTTCAGGTTCGCGCGAAACGATCGTCACGAGTTACGTAACGACCGTACACGTGGGGGACAGTGTCATCGATTGTATTATCGAGATTCGTTTTCCGGAATTCAAATTGGCAGAATTTTGTTGACGCGCGACGAATGGGAATCGACATGAAAAATTCGTCACTCTTTCCGAGCTTGATTCAACGTGGGAAACGCGCCGGAGCCGATAATTAAACGTCGCGGCCCTTAAGGTCGCGAAAAGCCAGAAATATTGATTTCCACGCCCAATAGAGATCCAATTTATTTTTGTAGCGACGCTTATCGATAATTACGACCGCTCGCTGAACGAGCGTCGCCGGCGTTTACCGCGGCGGTGCGGAAAT